TGCGTGTGCGTGTGCGTGCGTGCGCGCGTGTATGCTCCTGTCATGCCTTCTGTATAGATTTCGTTCTGAAGCTAACTGATTATGATTATGACGCCAGATTCGGACATAGGGGAGCTTAGCTTGACCGAAAGCAAAGGAAACCCAGGTTATGTCCAGAGCTCTGTGGGAATTGTGGGAGCAGTTGAATCACGTAAAGTCGCGACGGTGCAAGCAAGGCTGGAGAATGCCACTTTGTCATGTCGGGACAGCACATTGGAGAGCTCGGAACGCAGTATTTTTGGAAATTGCCTGGAAGGACGTAACAACTAATAACAACCGTACCGAAGAGCAAGTTCGATGATATGGATCTTAGAGTAACCTGCCTGGACTCATCTCAGTGGGTTCAAGCACATGGCCCGGACTGTGCATTTCGTCGAACGGCGCGGCTTCATGCTTGTTGAAGTTAGGGTCTTTCCCTGCTGGAAATTTGCAGCTGGTTTGTCGCTGCATGTGGTTTTATTCGACATGGGACTGGCTGCTGTGTGGCGTCCTCTTTCACAACAAATGGCAGCGGCACAGCTGGAGGTGGACCCCGGCAACCTAGGAACGTCAATTTACCAGCACTCCCGGACCGATCTGTCCTAGGTTCATGCTTTAGGTTGGATAGCAAGGAATCGTTGAGGTACCATGACGGGACCGGCTGAGGAGCGACCAGCACAACCAACTTTTCGACGATGGTGGATAATTGCTGGTTGTCGTGCCTTGGCACTCCAAGGCTACCTGGACCACCACCGTTAAGTGGTCGACTTTCCACTTCACAACTGAGACATTCGTCCGTTCGCCCATGTGATCCGAGCGCATGCTATGCTCGACTCTACGGCTCAGCTGTGGTCCTGCAGTGCATTGGCTATTGACATGCAGGTTCAGCATGGTCCAGCTTCCCGAACCCACAGCTGCACTTCCAAGCTCCTTGAAGTAGCCGAGGCCTCAGTTGGACAAGGACTTTCGGCCATGCTTTGTTCGCTAAGGCTTGCAGGCGGCTATGGATGGCAATGGCTCGCGATGGCTCAATGCTCATCTGGGTACCATGCCGACTGCCCAGCGTGATGCCAAAGACAGTTCCCCGGCGCGTGTCCGCACCTCCAACGGGCACATGGCCATGTGCGGCACATAAGCTCATGAACAGATTACATTGTAAGGACTTCGACAGCCGCCTGGAGCCCAACAGTCGTCTCCAACCGATATGCGCTCGTCAGTGCTGTGTCATGTCGATGCGTATGCAGTCTGCCTGGCGCCATAGCCGTCATGCTATCAGGAACTCCGACGAAGAGAAGTCTCAACAGTCATGGCTGCAAGAGTCTGCAAGAGTGTCTACACATGCCCACACGAGGTATTGCGGCTCTCCAGGATGTGCAATCTTCCCAGCGGCAGAATAAGATGCTTGAATTTCCGGAAGTTCCATCGTCACTGTAACAGAAAGGCTGCAACCAGTACAGTACAGGTACAGGCATGCCGTGCATCGGGCTCATTTTTGGCTTCGCAACTTGGCGTGAAACGTGAACGACGTGAACGAGGTGAACGTCGGGGAGTGCCTCGCCAAGGCCCTGCCTGTGGTGATCCCTACAGACCTTTAATCATGACTAGGTCCCCACGGCGGGGGTAGCAATGCGTAACACAGCCAGTAAGCTAGACAAAAGAAACATGACCGCAGTCGACTGGCTGACAGCGGTTCTCTCGTAGAGCACATCTATGGCGGCGGGCATTGATTGGCTTTGCACCACACCTGCCGTTTTTCAGTGAACTTCCATGGCACCCCTCAATGACGATCTTGGTCCTCAGCCGCGGTCACTTCTCCGATTCGGGGTCCTTGCTGGCACAGCATCCAGCCACCCAAGCTGTTTAGAGCTACCAGCAGCTACCAACTTCTCCCAAGCCTTCCGGGGCATGAAAGGCGTAGCGGCCCAGGGATTCAGGGGATGCTCCAGGGTACCTCCGGACGCAGCGGAGTCGCTGATGCTTTCCGTCAACATGTCAGAAGTGGGCTCGCGCCTCCTTTGATGTCACACTCCTGCTGCGCAGACTGCAGCAAACCTGATGTGGCGAGTCGTGTGAAAAGACAAGGATAAGGGAGACTATTCACTTGACAGAGTTCGGGCGCCTGGCCGGTGGCATGAAAGACCCCAAGCCGCACGTCAAAATTGACAGCTACTTAGTGTTGCCTACCGGACAATGAACGAAGCGCTAATTTCTTGCATCCCTCCCCAAGCCTTTCGCTGCGCTGAGAGCTCCCAATGCCTCACAAGTGCAGCACACCACGTGAAGCGGGACAAATCGTGACCAAAGGCGCTCAAGCATTAAGCTATCATTGTCACATCACCGGATAACACTGCAATGATCTCCCCCAGGTGCAGGTGGAAGAACCAAAGCCGCCCTAACTATCGCAGTAGTGAACATCAGCCCGCAGCATCTGACGCTACCGCGCTGCCTGCTGCCTAGCAAACCTCAAAGATTCCCTTCCGAGCACCTTGAAAGCATAGAAGTCCTCGTCGCAAGTGGCATCCTTGTCGACGCTGCATTTGCTGGACCTTGGACACACCCGTTCGGTTGTTTGCAACTCCGGTTGCATGCAGATTGTAGCTTCCGGCTGTCCAGGTACTACATGCAAGGCTTTGGCACAGGTTTGCAGAGCCGAAAAAGCTCTTGGGCGCCAGAGGAACTGCGACCAAATGCACACGCGACATGAGAAGACAAGCCACAACGCTACTACAAGTCCAAGCAAGCTGAACAGACCCGCAAACCAGTCGCAAACGGCCTCCCTAAGAGACAGGCATTTTGAAGCTTGCGTAGTAAGCCTTGCAAAGAAGCAGACCGCGCAAAGCCAAATACAACTAGTGTCGGCTGGTGTCGGCTGTCCACAAACTCACAGCTGCAACTACAGTAACTACAGCATGCGAGCACTAGCTCCTTACAGCGTTATTCTAACATCCTAGCCTCGCGTCACCGCTTTCGCCGAACAGACACAGACGCCTGCGACAGCTTGTTGTAGGCAGAGTTCATCAGCTGGGAACACCTGGCCATCGTTGTAGCTTAGATTCCTACATTCAAGCCAACAGCCGACTTTTTGCTTTTCTCACTGGTGGATCCAAGGCAGTCCGTTCCACAAATCAGCCCTTAAACGCTTCTTCGAATGTGAACATGAGAAGAATATACTTGATGACGGCGGCTCACCTGTGGTTCTCTGGATCTGCGTTCCCACACACATCATTGAGGCCCGTTTGGAACGCCGCTCACTAACCCCACGTGCTTGCGGCAAGGAGCCCCCAGAAGATGCCGAAGCACTGCCACATCGCATTCGCCGCCTGGCATCATATGGGCTTCTGAAAGATGAGAGATGAACCTAAATCTGTTTGTCTCATCAGTCGCGCTGTGGGAGACTCCGGTGCAGCGGTAACTCGGCGGATTGTTGAGAACAACGCAACAGAGCCGACTATGGAAAGAAAAGAAGAAGACAAGACAGAGGCGGGCACTAGGAGCTCAGAGCGGAAGAACAAAACACAGCACGACATCGAGGAGAGGAGAAAGGCAGTGACGATGAGAGAAAAGCATAGAAAAACAAACGACAAAGCACAGAGAAGCAACTAGGAAACCACCAAATTTACGCAAAGTAGACTGACCCTCAGCTTAAGTTTCTGTCCAACCCGAAGCCCTGAGCTCAAAACGCACCCCGAAACCCTGAACTCCCAAGCAAAACTTTCTCGAGTCCCAATAAGATCCAATAAGTACAAGCTTAGCTACTTAAACCTCGTATTTCCTTGGGAATCCCACTTTGGAAGCTCCCTGGAGCTGAATCCCTTGAGGCTCCAACTCTCTAAACGTCCGATGCTATTGGCTAAATTCCCTAAGCCCCTGGACTCGCCCTCCCGAGACCCCATAAGCCCATGCAGCCACTCCATATGGCGACCGCTGGGTGGGAGTGCTCGCAGCTAACACGCTAAGCCCGCGCAAGCATCAGAAATGCACTCTTCGGATACCCCATCTGCCTCTGCGATGGCTGCTGTTACCTCTGGCAATGGCACCAAGTGAGATAGAAGCAGTCACATGAACGCTTCTGCAACCTTCGACATTCAAGGTGCTGGAGCATTCGATCATGCTCTCCAAACCCAGGTCCGTCCACTGCCAGTTTGCATCCCAGTTCATGGCCCTCAAAAGGTAACTTTACGATTTTGAACTCCCGAGCGCCCAACTCCACTGGCTTGGTGATGCATTGGCGATTTCGGACCCAAGACTTGAAATCAAGATGGAGAACGAGAATCATGTGCATTTGCCGAGACACCTTCTCGAGTGACTTAATGCTGTTCTGCGCGCACTCGCGCTGGGCGGTCTTGTTGGTAAGCCTCAAGTCACGGCAACTAGCGAGAAACAATGCACGTCGCGAGTCTCACAGCGTCAAAGTGTCTTGCCGACAGCAGACAGTGACGGAAGGAATGAAACCGGTACACCAGCTTACCGACAACACCACAGGAGTATGCAACACTGTGACAATCAAGCAACGAAGGCCAAGATGTTGCTGATTGAATACAACGTCAGAATCTCTATACCGAGATTGCTCACATCATCTGCAGGATGCTGATACTATCGCTACATCCGGTATATTCTCTCGGCAGCGTGTATGACGCAAAGCACAAGACCGCAGTCATTCCAGCAGGCTGTGTCTGTCTGGGTAAGGTTGCCGCGATCCGCCGCTCCACTGCATGAGTGGAGTTGATGCTTCAGTGTTGTGTTTCCCATTGACGGCTCCTCTACAAAACTACAAGGACGGACCTCGACACTAGCAGTACATGCCGCTGTGCCACGACTCGAAGCAATAGATCTTGGAGTTGGAGAGATCGGAAAAGACCTGGCAGATTGGAAGGCCGCTGATGGTAAAGACACAGACAGGTCAGGGGCAGCACCTTCGAGGAAGCACATGCAACTGCCAAGAAGCCTTAGTGATGTCCCCGAGCAACTGTGCGTAGTTGGCCGAGCAACCTGCCTTGGCCTCAGCGTTGGCAAGCCATGGGCTTCGACACAGAGAGCATAGTTCGAGGCTGCCGCGACCACCTCGCCGCTGCTGTCATTCCTGCGCGGTTTGGAAATGCACTGCCTGCTGCGTTTGGAACTTCATCTCCCGCAGGGGCAAGGCCCAACTTGACTGAAAGAGGGACTCTCCGGATGTGGCCAGAGCTCTAAAGGCTCTGGCCGGAGGTCGGGCCCCTTCCTGTCTTCTCTTCGCACCGGTATCAGTCCGAAACAGCCCAGGCGGACTGGCATCCTTTATTCTTTATTGTCAACGAACACTTGCAACGGGCACCAACGGGCTCAGAAGGAGTTCTTATCAACAGAATGCCTGCAGGTGCCTTCCCTGTCTCGATTCTGCACACGCATACGCGAGCGGAACACGCTTCAAGAGACAACTGGACCTGCTAAACCACCCCACATACCGGTGAACACTCGCAGCGAAAGAGAGCTTCTTCAAACATGCCTGCCGAAATGCAATGTTGGTCGGGCGGCTGTCCTTGCCATGAGGCCCTCGATTACTGGGAACCTTGCCACCGAGTGGAGGAGCTGCCAGTGACAGGTTCGTAGATTCGTAGCTGTTTCTTCGGTCAATGACCGAATTGAAGCACTACGTGTAGCGGGGCCACCTCTTGCAACCTGGCATGCAAACAGAAGCGTCGTGATTGAGCAAAGGGGCTGGTACTCCGCGGCTGCCCAAGCGAAGGTCAACACCTTGGTTGGAATCTTCGAGGGCCTCCTTGCATGAAGTGCCAGCACCGAAAGTTGTCTGATGCCTTACTTAAACCTTTCCCACGATCAGCGAAACATGCGAGAGCAGCCTCAGCACCCAGCTGCCCGTACGGAACCTGTATTTTGAGAGTGAGGATACTTGCATGTAACAGCTGTTAGCATTGCACGAACCACAGCACACTATTCTGGTGCCTTGGGTGGCTAGCATGCTGAAGGACCGAGCGAAGCAACACATTGCCGCTATGCAGGACCTCTTGTATGCTGCTTGTCACTTCTGCATGCAGTTATTTCAGCATGCTGCTTCGGGCTTGCCTTGCCCAATGATCTGCCCGCTATTCCATGACTAGTTTGCCGCAGGGGCTCAGAGCTCAAGTACTGCAAAGAGCCATTGGTGCCGCGTTGCATTCCTCAGCTGCAGGAAGGGGGGAAGCGAAGGTACTTCCCCAACCGTGTTTCATGAAGCCGCACGATCTGTAGGAGTGATTTCTGCTGTCACGACGATGCTGCACACCACATGGCAACAAGGGCATCAGTTGGACATGACAGCTGCAAGAAAGCAGCTCATGTTCAAGTCGGCTGTCATGGGCTCACCATCAGTAAAGGCCACCCTGGAATTTTAGTCGCTGCTCGTGACCGCGTAGAGACTGGACAGCAAACACGGAGGGGCACTTCGAGTATCCGTCCAGCACAGGCCAAGCCCAAGTCGAGTATTTCTGAGGGCAGATCAGGTGGCACGGCTCAAAGGAATCAGAGCTTTGTTGGCTGTCGGGCTATTTCCATGGACCTGGAGGTGCAGCAAGACGTTTTGGGCGATAGTGGCCTCGCGGTGTTCACATCGCCCTTCAAACGACTGGCTGCAGAAATGATTGAAAACATCGATCTTTGAAGTATTTCCCGATCTTTTGCGTATTGAACATGAAGCACACAAACTCTGACAGTCTGCGGTACCCGTCCCATCATAGGTTCGGCATTTAGATCCTCGGATGCTGCCTTCGAGGCATTGGAAGGCCGCGTATCAATGTCCACAGCCGAGCTGTTGTCCTCGGGAAACCCTACGTCAGATGGAGAGCGAGACCGACACTGCCTGTCCCTAGTAGGAAAGCATGCACTACCACTAGTACCCCCAACCCCAAGCCACATACCCCAAAGGGTGAAGAGATCCAGGACTGTACAGCGGGGCGGGCAGAAGAGGTATTACGTGAGAAACTTGAAGATTGCGATCTTCGCCACATCATCTTTGGATCGCAGGGTTGAGGGTGTCAGTTTCGGGCTGAGGCAGTCCTAACCAACTGGTACATTCGTGCTACGCGTCCGTGGCCAGCTCAAGTCGGCCAAGATGCCCGTGCTTGCAGCAACAACGGCACCACCTGCGTCCGTGCAAGCTGGGAGTGAATGGGGGTGATGGATTCAGAGAACATGCGGGGCTTTCGGGCCTTGGCACGTCATGCCTAGGCCCTTGGGGCCTACAGCTTCACAGCAAAACTTCTGCATGCCCCGCCTCGCCAAGCGCCTTCCGGAGTTCAGTGCCCATTTCCATCCTTGCTACAACGCAAGTTCCATGTACCCCAAGTCTCAGAGCCGTTTTCCTGTACCGCTACAGCTGGTTCATATGCGCATGGCCCGCTGTCGTTGTGGAAATTGAAGGCGGAACCGCGGAGGCTCCGCCGGGGTCAGCACAGCCCGCTCAAGGAGGCGTCTTTACTTTACACCATCCTGAGGGAAGTTATTAAGTTGTCGTGCTATGGATAAGCTTTTTTGCTGGAGAACAGCTGCGTCGCAAATCCTGGTGCCGTGCAGCCAACATCCGGTTTGGTCTAAACAGGGCTTATCCGCTTGATAGTCTGACTTGTGTATAGTTGTTTGATGCAGGGGTTGCGAAGAACCCTCGCTGCCCGATGGGGGACGCCTCACAAAGGAGCTATGCTCGCAGAGGCTGTTGTGGTTCAGCCAGACGGGGGTCAAGCGAAGCGACGGGATTCGTGTTTGCAAGAACCTACTCCTGCAGCAGAGCTCTCCAGACTAGGGACGGAGATGATCATGCGCTGCCAACATCGCACCTCGCGTAGGAATTGTCTGCGTGCAAGGGGCAATGTCTCGTCCTCACTGGTCTTGTCGGATACCTCGGCTCTGCTTCGGCCGGGTCGCTCGGATACCCACTGTAAGGAACCACTTCGAACCCGGCATACCCTGTGGCAGCTAGCCCATGCTTTCAACCAGCAACCAGGGGGAAACTTCGGCACGAGACTCAGCACAACAAGATCATGCAAAAGTCTGCCCCGAAAAACGAATGAAGCTACCTTTAGCGATGGCGACACACTCTTGACAGCATCACGGCACAACTGTAGCCACGCACTATCGTCGACCTTTGTCCTCCGAGCCACCGTCAGCGCAAGGCGCTGCAAAAGTTCTGCTCCCTGCGGCACGTCACAACATGGTGCAACACGGTTTCTGTGCCAAGCGACATTCGAAGGACTGTCTGGCGAAAGGTCTTCCTCCAACTAGGCTCGCGGCTACTTTCTCCAACTGGTCATTTGCCGTGTGGAGTGGAGCCACTACCGTGTCCTGTCACCAACGACGCTCGTCAGAGTTGGGCTCGCGTGCTTTGGATCAAATCAATAGGTTCCTACACTTTCTTCTTTGCAGTGATTCGTATATGTGCAAAACATGCTCAGACAACCACGCATGCTACGGATTGTTGTCTGCTCACTAATATTACATATACACACAACCACTCACTCATACGCATGATTGGATTGGAGTCCAACCCGAGCCTGATGCCAAGTATTAAAGGAAGTTGGCAAAATAGCCGAACCAGTGGACTCCAAGCCCAGACTCTGCAAGGCCGGATCGTAAAACCGTGGAGGCCGTCGGTCCTGGAAAGGACTCGCCTGCCAGACCGTTCCAAATTGATGCAAGTATGTCATGACCAGCACTCCACACGACTCCACGACTCCACGCTCAGGTCTTGATGAAAGGAGCGTTCGGCAACCTGCAATTCCCCAAGACTGCTGATGGATCACTCGCTTTGCACCTGGTGCATCTCTCGTCCCCGGCCCAAACCTCAGCCAATCCCAGTCCCCAGCCTCCAGTGGTGGCGGCGGTGCCACCGGACCCACCTGCCGAGCTGCAAAACCGTCACAACGGAACGGCCCGGAGGCAGAAAGAAAGCCGCATCCACAGTCCCCTCTGGCTGTTGCTCCTGTCTGCTCTCACCAGCTGTGCACCGGCTCACCAGCTGTTGAGACCCTCAAGGAACCTCTGCCGCAATGGCGGCGATCGGCAGAAGCCATACGCGGAGCATGGTGTGTGCCTGGCAACTGCTGTGGACACGAGGCACACATGCCCACAAAAACAGCTTCACCCACCACGCGCATCTTGCACTCATGCGGCTCCGAGTCAGGCCTCTCTTAGTGCACCACCACCGCTGTTCACACTAAGGAAAAGAACACTGAGCCGAAATTCCCGAGCGTGAGATGCACGGCTTGCTGGTTTTGTTCGGGAGTTCGGGAAAGGGGCAACGCCATGTCTTTCAAGCCAGACTCCTTCAATTGCAATGCACGAACCAGCCCTGGGCACTATCAGTACTGCGTGCAACTCCGCCGCGAACCTCAAAGCAAAGCCTTGGCGTACTGTTCGAGGCTGCGCTTCTCGCGAATGCGCTCACAGCGCTCCGTCAACTGGCAGCGGACAAGCGGACAACAGGCAGGCCGTGGGCAGTGAGCAGGGAGAGGAGAGAGAGGAGTGAGGATGAGGACCACAATGAACATGACCGTCGCTCTTTTCACGACGGGATGCGTCACACATTCTTAGGCTTCGCACTTCGAGCATCGCGAGCGCAAACTTCACAACAGGAAGATCAGATGCAAATTGCAGGCGAAAAGGGAATCTTCACAGTCGCCCTGCAATGGAAGGATGTCAATCCTTCCTTGCACATTTTTATGGGTTGTGGTCGGCATAGCATCTGAGACAGAGGGTGAGGGTCAAAATGAGAGTGAAACAAAGCGACGAGTGAGAGTGAGGGTGCGAGTGAACAACGAGTGAAGAGTGAGGGGTGCGAGTGAGATGAGACGAGAGTCCCAATGACAACATTTGTATGTACTGCACAATTACATGCTGCACTACAACGCTGGACACGAAGGATCCAATGGTGTCCTGTCTCACTTGATGTCTAATGCCTGCCAGATTGCAGCAGTACAAGCTCATATCAATCCGCGCACAATCTGACAAGGAAAGCGGACTTGCTCACGGCATCAAGCGAGCTTCAAATGCCCAGAGTCAATGCCAGAAACTCGCTGATGCAACGCTTGAGGTGGAGTGCTGAACACAAGCCTACCGGTCCCAAGAAATTCTTGGCGCACGTCATCAATGAGCTCTGTGAAGACATCAAAGCGGCGAATGTCAATCTGCTCCTGCGGCTGCAGGCAGGGAGGCATCTCTAGGCATCTCCTCGAGCAGCGGAGCTTCGGAACAAGCGGAATCATGCGACGCACTGCACGCAAAGATGTCTCTTGAAGGATCCAGCGGATACCTGCCGAGCGCCCGACAGCATCTGCCTGTCCAACTGCAGATGGGTTGGCACCTACCTGGCATCAGAGCGCAGACTCTGAAGAGTCAGTCGAGGCTTTGATCCGATCTGCGCCACATCTACGTATCCGGCACAACCGTGGCACAATTATGCCGTTGTGCCACGGATCGGATGCTGCCTGAAAGGCGTAGATGGGGCAGTAGCCGTAGCCTGGATGCGCCAAGCAAACCCTATGCTCGAAACACGATGAAGAAAGTTGCAGGTCAACACGCAGAGCAGAGCAAGAGCCACTTGTGACATCTTGCGGGCTCGCTCGCCAGCGCAGGCATGCGCAGGCTAAAGACGCTAATCCCAAGTAGCGGTCACTGGCCTTCGATGCGGGTTTCGTCTGGTTACGGAGTAAGAGAGAGCTTCCGGCAAACATCGTCGAGTATTCCCTTGTGCGATGGGGATGACCGTGGCATGTGCAGAGATGTTGGAGCTCTCCGTGGCGCAGCTCGAAGCCCTCGAACTTGACCTTGAGGCCTTGGGATGGCCTTGGGATGGCCTCGGGCCTTGTTCTTCCAGATGTCGTATCGTCGTATCGATCACTTCTGCCAGCGGCGCCTCGAACCATGCAGTGTGCAAAAACACCCCGCGGGGAACGAAACCGAAAACAGCATCTTGTTTGCCCAGCTTGAGCAGAGAGGCTTTGGCTGCCCGCGAGGTTGCTCCATTGGCTTCATCAGCTCTAGCAGTGTCTCGCGTAGTCTGGCACATGCAGCAGTGACAAAGAAGATATCGCAAGAAACCTCACATTATAAGCTGCGAGCTTCTAGTCTCACTCAGCATAGCCTTGTGTCTGGCCCTGCCTTGCATCCCTCGCAGCCATAGTGTGTAGAAGATCTCGTGCACCCCCGTTCATCTGTGCGACGAGGCTGGGCACAGACTCCAAGCAGCGCTGCCCGCTTAACTTCTGCAGCACTTCCTGACCGAATCGCGAAAGAGGGCACACATAGGCGCACCGTGTGGCCATATGACCTGCTGTTCCTACGCCGTTTGCCTCAACCTACGGTCAAGTGACAAGGCGAGTGCGGCAAACCAGTTCGATTGGCAGTAGGAAGATGGGCTGCCTGGACTCCGTCAGCTCTACTGTGTCAGCAGTTGGAGTCGCTTGGAGCTCGGCAAACATCCAGCAAGGCTGGCCTCAACTCGTCGCCCCTCCTTTGTCTTTGACGTGAAACATCTGGAAAACAGCCGCATTTTGTGAGATTGATGGTAGATACACTTTGTGACTGGCAGTTTTCTTCGCGGCATGTATGCTCTGGCAGTTTCACCAGGCATGCAAACAATACGTGTGCGCATGTGAGTGTGCTGGTGGGTGGCGGGTGAGCGTGTGAGTGTGGAGAGCGTGTGTGAGTGCTGGGGCGGGTGGGTGTGCGCATCTTTAAATTGTCTCCACCCTGCTTCGCACAGACCCATGCGGGTCGCTCTGCTTCACGCACCCAATCGGGGAGGGAAGGCAGTTGCTGCCGGGCTCATTGAGCTCCAAATGCTGGCTCGCGCAAGTTATTCCTAAATGTCTCAGACAAGGCTCTATGATAGGTTGGTGATCTTCCCGCATCAACTCATAGAGAGGCAAGTAGTAGTCGTCCCGAGCTGGCTTTCGCAGATCGGCATTGAGCCACTGGTAGTCATCCACATGTGCATCCACTGGGCTGCTGCCGCTGCTAACCGCATGGTTGCAGAGAACAGCGATCGCCTCTGGCAAGGTCTTGTAAAGCTTCAATGGTAGCGCCGGCTCCTGTTTCGGACCAGTCGTCTGTAGGAAGGTGAAGTACTCATGGGAGATGACTTCTAGCGCAGGCAGATAACGAGCTTCCCCACTCAGGTTTGGGCAGCCACCATGCCAGACACGGACATCTCCTTGGTCAGCTTCTGTGCTTGAAACAAGCGAGAAAATCTGCTACGAGTCCCAGTCGCTGCGTCACCACGGATTATTCAAGCACTCCACTACATCACCAAGGCCGAGCTTCGGACCAGACAGTCTCCGGCCTGGAAGGCTTCGAAACGTGCGGAACGTTTTCTAAAAACTCTACGGAGTGGCTTTAAGCAGGACGACTCGATGCAAGGAAAGGGGGCCCGCTTCAAAGACCTGCCTGCAAGGGAAAGATCTTCGAGCGCAGCCAGTCGCTGCGCTTCTCCAACTCATCTCCCAGACCCGGAGCATCTATCCAGGGCTTGTCCTGCACGAGAGAAGGGCTGATGGCTGGTGGAGCTGGCACGGGTCTGCGGGCTTGCGGCTTGGATTTAGGGGTCCTGGCAGTAGGCGGCCATCTCCTTCCAGGACACAATCCGCATAGGGCCGTTGTATGCAGTGAGATCTTGCACGGCATAGTTCACGCAAACGAGCGGGGGGAAGTCCTTGCAGTGCACCGGAGCATTCTTCATTTTGCTTTTGCTGCTGCCTTTGCCGTTCAAGGGTCGTGCCGGGCGCATGTCAGAGTGAAGCTTCTGAAATTCCCATGTCACGCCAGTGCAGTAGTCGCCACCCAAGCCAGAAACCAGGAAGCCACCATTAAAAATCCGATCCATCAGGGCAAGGACAGAAGGTGTCAGGAGGTGCAGAAAGGATGACAAATGCATACAGCTTCTGGAAGGAGTCAAACTCCCCATCGAGTACCGCTGCGGGTTCCGGTTTCCCAGGCCCTCGGGGTCGATTCGGCGCACATTCTCATGCAGTCGTGTGCAGGCCTCGTAGACTTCCTTCACGTCATTTTCACAGAGGGCACCACGCAGAATCACGAAGCCGTTCTCACGAAATATGCCTGCTGCTTCGCTGACAGACCCTGCGTCCACGGCCACGGCCTCAACATCCAGCGAAGATTTTCGACGGAAAGCAGACATCCAGCATGCCCAACCTGGAGCTTAGACCTAGACACAAGATCCGACATGTCAACACGGTTACTTCACCGTGCCAATGCCTCACCCTCTCGATTAGGCAAGCTTGAACCATATCACAGCACAATTGCGAACGGCTGCATGTTGCGATTCAAGAACCTGCATGCATGGATCCTCAACATCCCAAGACTCTAGCACAACCATATTACTGGGATTGCAGGCATGGAAAAGGTCACTTCTTCGGACGCCGACCTCTTGATAAAAAAATCAAATGCCGTTAAAGAAAGTAAGGCAAGTGCTGCCTGAGGACTCATCGTCCGCGCTCACGGCCGCAGAAGGAGCGCAGGTGACCGTCATCATCCAAGACCAACACAAATCCACAAATCAAAGGAATGGTCGATCATGTTGATTGAGCCCCTCTACCTCAACCTGCACGAAGACGACGGTGCTACCTGTTGAGACGTGTTCGTTTTGCATTCGGACCGAAGCCACATGACTGCCAAAGCAGGACTGCCGCAGTAGAGTCTCCAAGCCGAACAGAAAGTCATAAGATCTTGAGGCATCCCCGCAAGCTATACTCCGGCAGACTTTGCGTGGGATAAGGTTAGGGCGTTTCTCCACTTCTGCGTGGACAATGTCCTGTGCAGTCAAGAAGGCAGGTGACTTCTAGCAAAGCGGCGCGAGGCAGCCCAGCCCGGCCTTGGGAATGACGGGGCCAAGGCCTCCGCAGCGCCAAAACACCAAGCAAACCCCGGGCCCCGACCGCGTCAGACCAAAGCCTCCATGGACGATAACGATGCGAACTCCGTAGCTTTGCTGAACCTGGGCGTGCCGTGCGTGCCGGACGTGCCGCGAGCCTAGCAATCGCTCGAACTCAAGCAAACATACGGCAAAAGACGGCGCAAACCCGATGCATTGCAACCCTATCCGCACTCCGGAGCAGAAAACCGCATGTGAACATGCTTCACTCTTGACATGGCGTGCCCATTCGTCTGCTGAGCAGTCAACTAGTCTCAAGCGAAAGCTACAAACTTCCGGAAGATCTCAAAACGAACGGCCGCAAACCGATCAAGACGGGCATCTGAACGGCGAGAGCAACCGGCCAAGGCCGATCGCCCGCAATCCCAAACGCAAGGGAGCGAGTTTTTCGGGAGATCTTTCTAAATAGGGGGGGGCCTCTCCACGACCCCTCTCGAGGTCCGAGCTCTATCGATCTCCTCCATGAGCATGTCGAACTGGCTTACGCCTTCGTTGCGAGCTTTGCCGGAAGCTGTGCTGGGGCCCATGAGCCGCCGCAAGCTGCATATTTCGAGAACGAGACTCAAGCCATTTCGCTGGTGTCTCAAGTTCACTACCAGAGCATGAGCCGCCCTCAGGCCGTGGCTTTTCGTCTTGAGAATAATTGGGATCACTTGCACCTTGCAGGGGTTCCGAGGTCACGAGCTGCAGTCGCGTGACCGAAACGCAACCGTAGAAGACAAGCTCTGTGATTCTTGCGCACGGTGCGGGATCATGCTCTCTCCATCAAGCTCCCACGTTGCTCCACACCTTCCGCCGCGGCAAGGGCACCACTGGGCCTTCTTCATCACCTCGTGGCACAAATAGGCACAGGTCATGTCAAGGGCCGTGCACTTTTTAGCAAGCCATCTTCAGAGAGCCAACATGCATACGCAGTCTAACGGGCAGCGTGCGCCACTTCACTGAAAGCGCCAGTGAAGGCCTGCCTGAGTCCTGCTCCGGTGCTTCATCCTCTCAACACGATCTGTATCTGAGGAGCTTTTCAACTGCCGCCAAAAGGCATGGGCTCGGAAGCGATACAAGTAGTATATGCGCACCACGCAGAAGGTTGGAGGCTTACCCCTGCAATGTATGCAAGCATCGGTGAAAAACGCTGGAGTCCTCCGAGAGCGCAACCTGAACATAGGAAAATGGTGTGAAGGTTTGGAGAACATCTGGACACAAGATCGCCGCTCGATGACTCAAGAGGGTGCACACTGCCGGCTCTAAACTGGGAAATCATCGCATCGGGAAGAAAGCCACGGTCAACAGCTTGAAGCTTGTGCTCCGGCCACTGTCGGTGCAGGAGCATGAGATGCCGAAGTTCTAGCAAATCGGGGACGCCTCACCAAAAGCCTCCTTGCGAACACGCTCGACCATTTCCCGCTCTTCCTGACGCATCTGCTCCTCTCAGGGAGTCTCGCGGCCAATGGGAACAAGGAAGACAAAATGCACCTGCTTTGCTCTCCGCTTCTCCAGAGCCTAGAACAACTTGGTACTGCAACCTCGCTGCGGTTATCCTGGCGGCGATCTTCCTCCCAACGATCCTGATCACGGCCCTGCCACCGGGCCTGCACCGGGATCAGGATCGATGTGTACACAAGATTCGGGAAATGCCGGGTGACGTTCAGACGCGATAACTCTTAGAATGCAGGAATTGAAGAATTCAGAAACGATTTCAGGAAACACCCTTCGACATTCGTGCAACGAGCATAGACATTTCAGCCGCACACCCTCGACAATTCAAGAAAACTTGCGGCGACAATTCCTGGACACGAGACGCGTGGTTGTTCCACGCTGAGGATGCAAGAAGAAGTTTGCTCTTCTCAGCCCCGTAGTAGTGTATCGCTCTTTGTTCCTGCCTGGCATGCTGGCATGCTTCAACATCATATCATGGTATTATGAATGGTGTTAAAGTCCCAGGCTTGGTGTCTCGTGGGCTGCATTCTATCCACACCGGCAAAGCCTTGTGACACCAATTTTGCCGACTGCCAGAAAACCTACAATGTAACGATCTTTTCTTCAGCCCTAAACCCTAAGCTTAGGAAGCTCTGGGCACCAAACCTGTGAAGCCCTTTTTTTGAAACCCGTGGCGGACACATGTTTCACCCACAACAAGCGTCGTGCTAAACGGCGTTAGCCAAACTCCTACTACGGTGCATACGCCCTTTTTGGTCGAAGCGCGGAGAATGCGCCCGGCCAGGCACACCGTCCCAAAAACCGGTGCCGGTGCCGGGGTGCGCACTCCTGCGCCCGCCCCAGGCACCGACCCGGTGGACGGGCGCCGGCCGTATATAATCCAGTCGATCTTAAATCGCCCAGGGTCGGGCTGGGAGGGAATTCGAAAAGACGGGCGAGCCGATACAGCTGATCGGCCGCCCGCTTACGCTTGTTCATACACACACACGTGTGTTACACAACAAGCGTCGTGCTAAACGGCGTTAGCCAAACTCCTACTACGGTGCATACGCCCTTTTTGGTCGAAGCGCGGAGAATGCGCCCGGCCAGGCGCACCGTCCCAAAAACCGGTGCCGGTGCCGGGGTGCGCATGGTGCGCACTCCTGCGCCCGCCCGGCGCACCCACGCCCCGCCTGGCGCCGGCACCTACCACATGGCTAAATCAAGCAGCTTCTCAGGAGCGGCATTGCAGGCGAAGTCAATGTCCTGCGCCGCGTGACCCAGGACCCGCATGACGTCGTCCACCGGCGACGGCACGCGGGTCCAGCCTTCCCGGCGAGCCACCGAGTCGTCGCCCCTGGCGATCGCGTCCGAGATGTTGGACTCAGACGGGACGCGATAAAAGTCGGGCAACCACTGGCGTTCTGCCGCAAGCCCCC